AGAGTGTCTGTTGATAAAAATGTGTTGTTGCTCTGTAATATTTTTTATCTGAGAATTAGAAGACCATTATGCATTTTAGTGAATTAATCTCTTGACACTCCTGTGAACTAATTCAATCTTCTTTCTGTTTTCAAGATGGAGAGAGAAATATCCAAGCAACTAACATGACACAAACAATCACAAAGGCAATCTGTGGGAAAACTGTTCTATGCTTTTGCCACATTTACCACTTGAGTAGAGGGAAGAGACAGAAAAAAACACACAGAGGAAAAAGCAGATCTCAGGGATAAGCGGCTATACTACTATTTCATAGGACAAACAGAGAACACAAACTTTTTTCCTAAAGAACTGCTGTTTGCAATCCCCACTGGCAGTTCCTAGACATTCTTGAAAGAAGGATTTGATTCTGTTTCTCTGAACGTTTCCTTTTAGAAGAATGAAAAAGAATTTGGCTTTTCCACCTCCTTTTAATATATGACTACAAAAAGAAAAATAAACAAATATGTTTCTTAAAACAAAGCTTTTCCCCAAATTAAAATTCCCACCCTGGTCTTGCACTTTCACAGACAAAAGTTTCCATGGTACAAGACAGTAAGAGTTACATCTATCCTGCTGCAAGGCAGACCTGAGCTAAGGTTCCCAGTTAACATCTGGCTAACGTTTTGAAAGTTATGCAAGAATGCTTACGAAAGGGAGGATAAAACTAATAAAACATGATGTGGTAACATAGTCCCAGAACTTTCCAGAGAATTTCTCATAATCAAATAACTTTAATAACAGTTTATTTTGTACCTGCTATTTTCCAGCCTTCAAAGTGTACTTTTATCATATTTAAAAGGTGTTTATAGACTAGAAAACAGTTTTCTTTGAGTAGATTTGCTAATCTAACAGATTTCACAAATAAGCTTTCTCAGCTTCCTGATGACTGCATTTCAGTTTCTTCATTGACCTTTTACATTATTTGCAAAGCACCTAGGTTTTGTTTTTACTTGTTCTTCTGGCTTGCGGTCAGACAAACATTAGCGTTTTTACTGATGCTGACGAAGTTCTTTCAGAAGCATGAGATATGTCTTTCAAATGGTGTGAATACCTAAAAAAACACCATCATGTTCTAGAATTTATTCTAGTTCATCACAGTCCTCATTCATGGCTGTCTGCATAGCAGCTAGAGTACTGAGAGACTGCGGTGATAGGCAGTGCAGAAAGCTCTAAAATGATTGTCTAAGGTAAGACCTTGAAGATACTTATTTTGCTGATGGGCTTAACCTATGTTATTTCCTTTCCTCAGGAGCTGTCATAATAATTTTTTTAAAAATGCGGTTTCATTATTTCCCCATGAAATAGGGTAGAACTATCATTCTTGTTTAGCAAAGGGAGAGGCCAGAGTTATATGACATTGTCCAAAGTGACACCAAAAGACAAAAAAGTGACAAAAAAAGAACAAAAAAGGGTGACAGCAAAAGACAAAAAAGTTTGGAAGCAAAATCTATTGTTTTGAATATGAGCCTCTGCTTTACCCTATCTGTAATTAAACTCTATATTCACAGCCATTTTGAAGTCCCATAAAGCACATTCACAAGTAGCAGGTCATCTTCAACCTATACATTGTTTCCAGCAATTATTTGTGGCTGAAAGACTTGGATTTTGCCTGTGTTTATTTTTCCCCCACTGCTGATGTAACTGCAGGAGTTGGTTGGGGTGGGAGGGGAGAGCGAGAGACAGGCAGACAGACATACCTAATAACAGAGCGACCGACCCTTTCTCTGAGGCTACACGTGCTGCCCTAGACCACAGCAGGCCTGAGCGGCGCCTGCAGAAAGCTGCAGTCAGCCAGCTACCCTTGCCAAAGCACATCTTACTCGCATTTGCAGTGGCAGCAGGGTAGGCTGGTCACCGCTATTATTTGTGTTGAATTAAGCATTTCTCATAAGCATACGAGAGAAGTAAATTAAACTGGTGATTCTGTGAAATATAAAGCCTTTGAAAAGCAGGAAATCTTAGCCTGTGCTTTTACCACACCTCTATTTTCTGTCACAGAAATTATAACTCCTCTAGAAGAATTAGTCACATACAGCTGTAGCAAGACACTTCCCACTTTTCCACCTTTCCCATCCAACTGTGGGCTGTATTTATTTCCCGCAGCTGCCCCTGCTCAACCTACCACTGTGGACCTGTGTTCATGTCATCAGGCAGCAAACCCCAAGCACGTTTGCCCCTATTTACAGTCCCCTCAGAGCAGCACCCAGAACTTATGTCCTGCCTTTCTTCTGGCTTGGAAATTGCAGTTCCTGTGTCACTGATCACTGAGCCAGCTTCTCAACCCAGGGAAGTTAATGGGAATTTAGGCACTGACTGGAAAGATTTGACCCATGTAATTTTTTATTTACAATGTCAACATTGTTATGTTGCATTGTCAATCCATCCATGCCAATTACACTTATCACCCCCCCCGCCCCCGCAAGGTATTTAGCAGGAACCGCAGCTGCTGCTTTGACAAAGGGTAACATGTCTTGCATGTTCTTTAAAAGAGGAGGCTAGCGCTCAATTAAACTTGCTAACACGTGAGAGAGCCTGGCCCTTCCAGCAGATAAGTACAGACCTAGAACCATTACCTTTTAGCCAGAGGAACTGTTGCTCTGGACACTACAGTTCTAACTCTTCCACTTCAATAAACTATCCCATAGTAAAAACACTCAGCTGTCACTGAATGAGAGAGAATAGGAGAGTAATTTAGTACCAGCCTGTCCAAGTTAATTAATTGGCCTATGCTAATTTATAGGTTCCAGCATGAGTAGAAGCAACCTTCTGCCTTAGTTGATGAGCTATCAGATAACAACCCTTTTATTAATGACCAGTGCTCTAATGAACTGACGCTATCGTGTCAGAGAGCAAGTGTTTTTATAAACCTCTCTGCAAGATCTCAGTTTCCTATTTTGAGAGTTGTCCTTTACAGAAGGTTTGTTTAAAAAAAAATGCAAATTCTTTTTTACTGAGAGGCAAAGGTACTACCAGAAGAAGGGCCTGATATTGAAACCCTTTTAGTATTATTTGGTGCAGTTACTTTCCAGCTGTTTCATATGTGTAAAAGACTGCACATGTTAATAAAAACAATAGAGTTTCTTGTCAGGGATTATGCAGTCTTATCAACTTTGTTTTAAGGATAAGCTAAGGGAGCACCAGTTGATTAAACTCAAATTCAACTAAAACTATCTGAAGGAACTAGATAGAAAACATATTATTGCAGCAGAAGTGATTAAAAAAAATCAATAAAGGCCACATTGTTATATGAAGTTGTATATACTCTTAGCACTGAGCATGTTAACTCATTTACTGATTATGGTCTGCGATCATCAAAACCACCACACCTATATTAGTCACATGCAAAGGCAATTTAAAGGAAACAACAATGAAAATCACCCACTTCCTTCTTCTCTATGGCATTTATAAGACTCAGTCAATTATTGCTTTTTCCCTAGCTTGCGACCCAAAATTAGGGTAATTGAAACCATATGAGGATTCAGATACAGCCATTTCAGTTAGTAACCCTGCTTTCTGTACTAGTTCCCATGATATGATTCACTTTCAGTTGCTAGTACCCATGAAAACAGGTAAGCTTTGTTTGTGCTCTTTAAGGAAAAATAGTTCATAGGAAAACAGGGGCTATTTCACGTTGAACTGTCTATAGGAGTAAGAATGTAGTTATCCTGATGTTTTCTATCTGATTGTAAGATATGGTCATATTTCCTTTTAAAAAAAAAGAAGTAATTCTTTTCATTAACGTTTAGATAAAAGTACCTTCATGCAACGGAAGTTGTGTATGCTTTTCTTAGTCAAAATGCAGTCTCCTCTCTCCTGGCTTGATTTGTGGTTGGCTTCATTAGGCTTTGATGCAGGAGCGGAGTTATAAGTGATTTCCAGCTTGGGTTTCACTGGATAGTTGCTGCAAATGAAGATTGCTTTAGCCCATCCTAGATAAGAAGACAGAAATAATCCTTGGTAAGCTATAGGTCACAGCCATTTTCATCCCCAGCTGGACCTCTCTGAAAAATATCAGTTCTCTGATGTCTGAATTCTGGCTTTAGATTCTTGCTAGATAAAATATATACATATATTTCTGAATTATTTTAGGCAACAATCTTATTGCTACTTAGTGGTCAGCAGTAGTTACTTTGGAAATGAGCAAGGGAAGTAACCCTGAACTTGCAAGCAGTATTTGTAGGATTTTGGAGGTAATCTTGGAATCTGTGTTTATCCGTACTGGTTATATACTGCTGTGCATTTGATTTAGGATATAGTAGTTCTCATGTAGCAAATAAATTTGAAGAGATATAATTGGAGTAATTTTAATGGACAGGTGGAAACAAACATCAGAGCCTGTATCTCAGGAAAAGCCATCAGAGGCTCTGAGAGCTCTGTTTAGAAAGTAGGCCTGATTTCCACTACCTTGTATCATGTATACATCTACATTTGTGCAAAATAGATGCACAATACTTCTCATTCTTATTTAGCAATATTTTGGACAGGTGTTTTTTGAGCTCTGCAAAACGGGGAAGCTGGTCTGGGAAATGTATAAACTTCTCTGTGGATAAGGTACCAGCCAGACCAATATAAAGCAGTATAACTTTAGCTTCTTCTAATTTTTTTTTCAAGTTGGTGATTGCTTCTGGTGGATATGAGAGAACTAGTCATCTATATTCCTGTCCCTCACGATGCATTTTAGCTATGGCACAACATCTAGTTGGAGAAACAGTTCTGGTTTAGGGTGCTCTCTGATTGTTTTTTGTCTTTGTTAGTACACTCAAGTTACTTTCTTATAAAATTTGCCTTTCTAACTTAAATGTACAAGCATTACTTACCTTTATAATTAACTCTTATCTAAACTTCAACCAAAAATAACAAGAAATATAATAATGATTAGAAATTGTTAACCTTAAAAAAATCTTTATCTCTGTTTTCAGTTTTTCACTTGTTGCTTAATTAAAGTATCAGATTATTTTCCTGATCTGTTTCTTGAATTCTACTGCAGAATGATTAGCCTTCCTGTGTATTTAAGCCTTTATCTTTAACATACAGATACAGTTGCACATATTGTATTGGAAGCACTAATTTAATAGGTAATGTAATTTTGGAGGAAAATCTTGTTTGTCCCCAAATGGACAAATTAAGTAAATAGACTGAGTTTCTGAACGTTGCTAAAGTCAAAAGTTGAAACGCTCGTATATCCGCTTGATTTTTTTTTGATACTCTTTGATCCTCTGTGTAGTAGCACAAAAGTGGCAGGTGCCCTGAGAAATTGTAGTAGTGAAGTGTGGAATTCAAAGTGAGAGTCTTACCAGTTTGCTAATTACGGTGTGGGATAACAGAAGTATACCTGTAACTTAAGCTGTTCTACCCAGTCTCACTCCAAAAAGTTAAGCATGTCAGCAGATGGAAGAGATGTGCAAGAGAAGCAACTTCTGAACCATGATGATGACGAGGAGCAAAGACTGTTACCCAGGAGAAGCAATCCTACCGGAAACATGTCTCGGTCTCCGTCTGAGAAGAAACTCCAAGCGGCTATTTGTCTGCTGCTTGTGGAGCTGTGTGAGAGGTTCACGTTCTTTGGCATTGTCTGCAACATGATCCTCTTCTGTACTGTCAAACTTGGCTATCGCAACTACCAGGCAGCTATTGTCAATATGAGCTTTGTGGGCACCTCCATGTTAACACCAGTACTGGTCAGCTGGCTTGCAGAGTGTCTTGTGGGGAGGATCAAGCTTGTGTGCATCTGCATGTTTCTACACTTCCTAGGTAGGTGACAACCTGGTGACTATTTCATGTGCGGTTATGTTTTAATAATTCTGTTATGGAAATGCATTACTGAACGTTTGTTGGAAGCCAGCAATTTTCCCTAACTTCGTGGCCAGCTTCTCTGATAGCTCAATATTTTGTTTTTTTTCCTACAAAATGTATTGCAGTATGTTTACCCATGTAGTTTGGTAAAATGGTTCTTTGAGCAAAACTAAGGAACTTTTGCATGCTACAACTTATGGATGTTTAGTGCCCAAAATCTACTCCTGTTACTTGGCTCTGTGATTCAGAAGATGGATTATCAGTTCTTTTTCGAAGTTGGTCCGTTTAACAAGCATCCGAAGGTATTAGTGTTTGGCAGAAATGTGAGATTTTAGGCATTTTTGTGAGATAATTTGGAAACTATAGCCCAGCTGTTGGTAGTAAGAGTTTATTATACGTAAAGGTATGTGACTTATAGTTTGACAACTATAGAACTACTATGGGAAAAATGTAGTTAAGTACATATCATTATAAACAATCTTTGCCTTAAGTACAAAAGCTGTGTCCTAATTCTTAGAGCGTGCTTCCGGTTCGCACATTCTGAAACTTTGACCACCTGTTATTCTGGAGACCTATTATATACAAGCCCTGTTCAGGCTAAGTATGACTGTTGTGTGATAATTAGTGAATTTCACAGGCAGGGATTATTTTTTCCACTTAAACCAAGCAAATAGAGCTACTTTTTATTTGCAGAAGCATTTGAGCTGAGTATATGCAAGTCTGCTTTCTGCAGGAGCCAGGCAGGTTGTTATTTAGACATGTAGCAAAGTAAGGAAAAAGCAGTCGTGCCTGAAATCACCCTCTTTAGCTTCCCAAACGTTATTGAAGTGACCGCAAAACTGTTGTGCGAACAGCCTGGAAAATGATTACTCTTATGCTCTGTTGTTTTTCCCATGGACTTCTAGTTTGGAATCCCCTTCTAGCATTTGTCCTTTTAACACGAATCTTACAGTAGGACATAGGTGACACAAACTGAATTTTATGTATTTGGGTATTGTTTTAACCAGTTGTCAAATACCTATTCATTTTAGCAAACCGAATGGCTAGAGCTTGCCTTGATAACTACCGGCAGTATCACAAAACATTTACCAAAGAGGAATTTAGGTAACTCTGTTGGAATCATGGTTGAACACTGCTGTTGTATTCGGTATTGCATGTGGCTACCTCTTACGTGAATCCAGTACAAAAGGACTCTTGGGGGCAGGGAGAGATCATTAAGCATTCCTGATCTGTTGGGGTTTGAGGAACTATTATAGCCTTAGTGAAGGCTAAGGTTGATGTTGTACATACAACAATATATTTTGGTTTTAGTCTCCAGTTACAACTTGGAGAATCTGTAGCTGATCAAATCTGAAAGACTTTCTTTGCAGTCTACATCTGGTGAATGCAATTCATGGCAAGGTGAAGTTCTGAAAAGCATATATATTACACATCTGCAACAAAAAACAAGAAACCTCATCACAAAAAAACTTTGGCTGCAAATTTATTTGCTAAATTATCATTCTTTTTAGAAGGCTGGGATTTAAAGATGATTGAAAACAAGATGATGCTCTAGAGTGGGGACTCTTTATTTTTGATTGATTGGTTGTTTGTCTGGCAAATTTACATACGTTAGCTCGTGCCCTCAGGCACATGATGAGCCACTACCCTCTAGATGCAGGAAATGGGGAAGGCACAGTGAAAGGAGCTAGGTTTCAGGTGTGAGCCCTTCAGCTGAAGGACCTGAAACCTTACAAGGATTTCAGAGAAAAATTACACTGTCTGAGAGGCATTTACTGATCTTCCCTTTCTATAGCAACATTCAAACAGATTCTAGCTATCTAGAGAGTCAAGAACCCCCTCTTTGCGCTCATCTGTGTCATGGATCTTTCGCTCCTTGTCAGTCATTTCAACATAGCTGTTTTAAAAAAAAAAAAAAAAAAAAAAAGGTTATTTGGTGACCTTATTCTAACTCATTTCAGATGTCAATTTTCTTTCACGTTCCAGGCACAGCCTTGCTACCTGTTGTGGCATTCCCCTTTGAAGATATTTACATTGACAGACGCCATATTCTTCACACACTGACCAAAAAGGAGCAGAAAATAGTATTCTACTTCGCACTATTAACAGCTAGCCTGGGAATCGGAGGCATAAGAGCTATAGTTTGTCCACTGAGTGCATACAACCTTGAGGACTGTGGACTAAAGGAGCTTCTTTCTTTTTTCAACTGGTTAGTAACTAATATCAACTAAATATCTGTTGGAGATGACAGCACATTGTCTTGAATTTCACTGTTAATTTGTAAGACAGATTCCACAGAGAGTGGGTTTCTTGTTTTGTTTTTAACTGTAACATTCAGATTTTAGAAGAGTTTCCAAGAATTGTTCTTTCAGTAAAAACTTTTCCTATTTTTTTGGGTTTGCTATGACCAGTAGGTGATAACCTGTGTTGGCCTCCTGCAGAAATCTTCAATCAGAAGTGGCATCAACTGATTTACCCAAATGCTTGTAGAATTAATAACTTAGTTGCTGTTAGAACAACATATTCTGACTGGTTTCTTCTCTCTAACATGGAGATGCCTTGAGGATATTTTGCTTTTGCTCCTTAAAGGTGGCAAAAATTCAATATTGTGTTAGAGTTAATCTCAGAACAACGTTCTAGAAATGACAGGCAGCAGAGTCTGCTAGTACTAGGGTTTATTAGTGGCCTCTTACTGCTAATCTTAAAGGCAGGGATCTTTTGTACTGTTTCAGTTCTGTCACTGTTAGGCTGGCACCTCAGATAAACCACTTGACATTTGTGTTTCAGTTTAAATATTTATCTGTTTTTCACAAAAACTCTGGGGGAGCAGAAGGGTCCTAAAATGCAAATATTTTTCATATTAACTATTTCTTCTTCAGTATGTCAAGGGGTGATTTTGATTATGCTTGCCTTTATTTATCACTGTAGCACTATAAAAGCGCTATGTATGTTCACCTATACATTTCTAGTTAAATTGTGGGGAATACTGAGGACTGTAGAAATATCAGTGGAAACCTCCAGATTGCTGCTTCAAGGCAAGGTGGAATAAATTCTAAACTGCCCTCTTTCCTCCCACTTCCCCCCCCCCCCCCCCCCCAAAAACAAAACTGAGCACATTTGCATATTGACAATGCAATGCTGAAGAATCAAGGAAGATCTTAGTGAATCAGATCTCTTTTCCATTGGGAATGGCTTTCCTGGCTATTCTATTTTTCTTGCAATTATGTTGATATCAAAGAGTTTCGAATTAAATACAAACTTCAGTGAATAAGGCTGCTTTACCAAAGGTGGATGGGACTGTTTAGTTCCTTAGAGCGGATTCTGCCTCCTTGACCTGCCCATAGGAGAGAAGAAAAAAACCCTTCTTTTTTATTCTATTCGGAGTTTTAATCCTTAATTAGCAACATCATTTTGATTAAATAAGACTCTAGGGGATTAAGACTGGAGAGCAATCAGTTGTTCTGAAAGATAGCTCTGGAGAATTTATTGTCCTGTGGTCTTAGCCATTCAGAATTGTGTTTAATCAAAGTGACATTTCTCAGTGTTGATTACAAAGGAGACATAATATGAATAAAACAGTTCCTTGGGGGAATCCAGATGGGTCAGTTCTTGGGGCTTTGGAAGTATCAAGAAAGGCACATGTTCATTTTTAAAAAAAAAAAAAAAATCTGCAATGGTCTGCAAGGAGGGGCTTTTTGATTGCAATCTTAAGACTTAAAAATGAGGTTTCATTCTTAGCATTATTAATCTTGTTACAACCTCTGAAAATGTAATCATTTGCTCTTGGTAGGCTATTGTCACAGGAATGAATTTCAAAATAATATATTAAAATAGATGGTGGCATACTCTTGGTGTGTAAGTGTCTGCATTCTTAGCCAGGTTCTATTTAAATAATCAGATTTGTTGGATTAAGGAAGGATGGTGATTAAAAAGTTTCCAAATATAACCTTGTAGCTACCCAATGTCTAATTCAATCCATGAAGAAGGCTTCTTTGCACATATAGGGCCAAGTTTTAACCTTTAGCATTGCCATGACTGTGACCATTTAGATAAACACAATATACCAATATTAAACAAAGAAGGGAATTAAATTCTGCTGGCCTAAGTTTTCCCAAGGACTTCTGCTTTATGAAGGCTAAGGCTGTGGACTGGTACTGCTTTTGCCGCTCAAGAAGTAAATCCTGTCCAAGGGAGCAGAGGATATGAGCAAAGGGTAGAATCTAGACTAAGCGTGGTAGTTAGCAGTGTTAACTTGTATCTTGTCTTATTGTTCAGCTGTAAAAATGTAGTGAACATGGGATAATACAGTAGTATTTCTCTTCCTTCCTTCTTTTCTATCTTGCATTTCTTCTAATCTTTTTCCTTTGTTTACTGTAAATAAGTTTCAACTATTATCCTAGATACAATTTTCTGACCTTTTTTTTTTTTTTCCCCTCTAATTGTTCTTTTTTTCTTTAATACCTTGTCTTTGCAGAGAACCAGAGCTGAGCTCCGTAGAAATTCTGAAAAACTTTTCCTTCTGGTACAAAGCTGTAATACAGCAAAGTATATCTGTATAGCATGGAGACTGGTCCTTTCTTATGTACTCAGAGGATCTGGATCTGAACTTGGTTAAAATCAGAACTTGCATTGTCAGTTAGTTGTGCTTAAAAAAAAAAGAGCAAATAATTTCTCAAGTGATAGGAAATCTATTGATTCTTCAGAATTAATCCAAAAAATGACAAAAGGTCAGCCTCAGAATATTTTCAAAGATTTTGTTTGGAGCACAGATTGTTTCATCCAGCAAGTTCATTTTGATGATTACTTTAAGTAAAAGCTTCTCAAGTACTGTGTAAGCATCAATAGTATTTTTAAATGAGAAGTCATCTAGTTGTTGCTTTCTTAAAAGTGATCATAATGAATACATTTCTATAAAATATTCTAGTAAGATTACTGGATTTTTGTGTGTCACAATAGCATTTCAGTTTATATTAGGGCTGTGTTCTTGAAATGAACCTCCCAGTTGTCTGCATGTGTGTCTCATTCATTGTGGAGAGAACTCAAAGTGCATAAGCAGGGTTCCTTTCAAAATAACTAACATACATAACGGATATGTATTTGATGCACTTAAGCCACCAAAGGGCTTGAGTCACAAGCCACTAGCGGCCTGTAGGACCAGACTAGAACTACATGAACTACAGAACTACTCCTCCTCAGTTCATGTAATGTGGACAGTAGGTCCTTAGCACAAGCTATATTGCACTACAATCTTTTGCACTAACACTTGAGAATGTTCTAAAAAAGTACCTCACTTGAAGAGGGATTTCCTCAAAACAGAAGCTTTTTGAACGAGCAAGCTATTTTAATGAAAGCATTCCACATGGCAAGATTGCTCGGGTGAAAGGTGAAAGACTATTCCTTAGTGATTACACCACTTGCCCAGTTTGGCCACTGAACCAAGCTAAGGTACACGCTTCAGGGCTCTGCTCTGCCTAATCTAGGTGACTAAGTTAGAACTACACAGGAATTCATGCCCCAGGTAAGAATGGCTCATTGGCCGTTTTAAATGAGACTTTTATCTCTTTTATTTAAACTCTATCAAAATAATTCTTAGGCTACAGAAAGACACCCTTTTTATCTTAAGCCTTTTGTCCAAGGCATTTACTTGGGAAGTGGGAGATCTTATTTTGTTGCTGTAGTGAACACTATTTGTACAAATACGCTTTAGAATAAGAATTAAGATAACATATTTAGTTTGATTTCACACCAGAAGAAATAATTGACAGGTTGTTATACACAATAAGCTTTTAATGTTGCATAATCAAAACATTCCCTTGGTTAACAGCTAACGGTCTTAGTTATCTCATGATGTTGGTGCTGAGTTTTGTTTAATGCACTCACATGCTACGTATTTGAGTCTAGTTTGATACAGCCTTATAGATCCTGTCTAGGTTTTAGTGCTTAGTTGGTTTTATTATTATTATGCTATCAAGAGATGATTACACTTTCCAGTTTAGAACATGAAATGTGAGGAGATGCTGAACAGTGACCCAAGCTTTGTATCCTTCAAAATCTTTCACTCCTCATTAAAGTAGTGCAGCTGGTGTCCAAAGGAACCAGGCACCAGGAGTGAGCTGTGAACAAAATGTTCAGTTTGATGTATTCAGTGCGTTCAGCTCTGTCTTATTGGGATCTTTTAGATGCTTTACTCCAAATATCTCAATATCAAATATCTGTGCTGTGTTTTACAGCCAGCAAGATGTGTTTCTGTTTGTGTAGGTTTTGAGCCGGTGCAGCCGGTATGATATGAGCAACTCCTAGAATTCTAATGTGTGCACTGAGACAGACTTAGTTTGTCTGTCGTGTTTAATCCATAGGAATTGCTGGAACATGTTGTGTTTTTGTTTCCTCTTATTTCTGCAAGAGAACAGGAGCTTTACATCTCAGTCTTACAGTGCTTTGCTATACAGTGGTCCAGATATGCTGTTGTTATGAGCTCTAGCTGCTGAAAAAACAAAACACTCTCCTGCACTCAAAGGCTTTCTTTGAAGGTTCCTAATTCTGCTAAAACAGAGTCATAAGGAGTTTCAGGCCTTTTAGGTAGCTCGGGCACATTTTGTAGAAAGTTTAGAAAATGGGCTGAAACTTCTAACTTGAAAAAATTTCTAACTAGAAACTTCTAAAACATTTACCCAAGTTAAACTGACCCAATTGTGTAAGTGTTTTGTTTTTTTTGTTTTGCTTTTAAGAAGCTTTAGCAGAATACATACACAACTATGTACAAAATCCCTCCAACTCTACCGTCGTCCCATAATAGCATGATTCAAAAGTGCCTAGAGATGGCTTCCTGGGGGAGGAGAAAAGTCTGTGATTTTTGGATGAGCATCATCCTGTGAAAACATAAATGATTTAAAGGAAGCAGCGACTGATGTTGAAACTTCAGACGTGTTTTGGTGTGACTTCAGAGAAATATGTGAAGGCAGAGAGAGCACCTGCTGACTGCTGTGCCTAGTTTGCTAGCCTCATGAGAGATGCTGTGTGGTTCTCAGCAGTGTTGAGTTTACCTAAGTAGAAGATGTTGTTACTCTTCTGCTCCTTGCCCTCTGTGTTCTGCTGGCCAAGCTGCTTAGCCATGCTCACGTGTCTACTGCTGCACAGCCTTTGTGTTAATCTTCCCCTCCTTAGTAAGGTGAGAGATCATTTAGTTGGTAATGCTAATGAAGTTTGTTCATTCTCAAGGTCCTTGCTTCTGACATGATAGAGACTTCACTTTCTTGGCTCTAGCTAGATATAATGTAAAGGGGAATGGCAGAACAGTCAAAAGCACTACAGTAATGATTTCAGCACTGTAACTTGTCGTATGATCATGATTTTCCTGGCAATTTCAGTAGGCCAGCCAGAAGTCACTTAAAATGGATGAAACGGGGTTAGTGAAGGGTCCTTGATGTCAAGAGAGACTTGCAGGTCCCCCCTTAAGGTCTGCAGCTCAAAATGTTTTCCTGTGATTGTTGATACAGGGAGCTGTGGTAGACTGATACTTAGCTCCTGCTCTACCAGCTGTTTTGTGGTTGAGGTAACAAGCCAGAAAGCTAAGAGTTGACTTGCTAAAGAATAACTGGTCTTCTAAAACGCGTTTAGACTCGTCTAAATGTTGACAATTGATTTCTGTACTAATTGGAAGACACAGAGACTTAAATTTAATACCATGCATGGGACAGAAGTGACATAATACAAGAAAAAGCTTTCTTGCTTCCTCAAGCAATGTATATTGAGGTATATACATATGTATCGATGTATATTTCACCTTTGAGTGAAACTGAGGTTTTTTTTTTTTTTTAAGGTGAAGGAATCTCCTATTGTAGTTAAAATATCTTGCAATATCTCACATATCATACAGATCTAAGCTATGATATCGTGAGATAGTATTACTGATTGCTCTTGTTTGTTTAAAATATAATTGTTGCCTTTAAAGACAACTTGAAACTTAGAAGTTTTGTCAAGTGTAAAAGTCTTAATGTAAAATTTCAAAGGCTAAGCAGGCAGCCTTTGAAAGTGACATTCAAAGCTGAAGCAAAGATTACTGAATGAGAGTCTCTGGTTTGTATTATGCAAGAGATTCAAATGAATTCTTATACTGATCCCTGATTAAAATGATTGCTGATTAAAATTTTTTGAAACTGTGACTCCACCAAGGCCTAACTCTAGTTTCTCTACACTGAGATGCTCTCCAAATATTCACTGAGTCTGGTGTATAGTCTCAAACCCCTGGGATCTTTTCAGACTAGTGTTTTAAAGGAAGTCTCAGTTAAAGCTTTGCTGAAGAGCAAAAACAATGCAAATGGCCTGAAGAACAGTTTGTGGGGAACACCTTGGAATGTAAAATGAGTTAGAGGGATTATAGCTGAAATGCTTATAATTATGAATGGGACAGTAAAAACCGAACAGTCCCAAGAGGAATGAGGGCTATGCAGTAGAAGAATAAGCAGTGCAGTTTTTGTTTCACTGTGTTATTAATACCTATGCCGTTAACTAACTTCTACGAAAAGGTGAATTGTAGAAGTACTAACTAATGGGATATATAAGGAGTCAAATTCCAGTGAAAAAGATATGGTGACAATATAATCCTAATTGTGCAGATATAAAGTGATTTGCTAGAATAAAGTAACAAACAATTTGCCCTTTTTCATCCTAGGGGGGACCTGCATTGTTTTGGTGTTTTTTGGTTTACCTTCTACTATGCTTATAATTTCTTTAAGCATATCTATTGTGCTATTATCAAAGGTTTCAAACTGTTAGGCCAACCACTAGTGATACATCAGCTGCTTCCAGGAGTATATGAATTTCATTTGAATGTCTCCTGTGCATGGGAAGGGTTCAACACTTATGTGAGAAGCACCTCTATTGCTAGAAATGGTCTCAGAGCAAGTTATATTTGGGAACTTCCTTATCAAGATATTTCCAGAAGCCAGCAAAAATTCCAGCTAAGCTAACAGGCCATGCAGCTTACGGAAATGCCGTTCCTTCCCATAAATCTAATTCTAATAATCTTTAAAAAAAAGGGGTGGTGGCAGTAAGATAGTGCTCAAAACTTATAGTTTACACATTTAATATGTGAAAGAATAAATGTTGAAGTATTTAATTACTCCAAACTACAGAATATTTCTGGTACTAGATTGATAATTTGTTCAGCTCTATTGCCTTAGTAGAGTTAGTTTAATCATATACCTCTTGGAGCTGAGACATCCAAGTGAAATCTGATGTTAATTGATGTGTTGATGTGTGCACGATACTGATGCTGACCATGCTTACTGTGCTTTTAAATTCATAATGTTTTTAATTATATCTCTTGTAAAGAATTTATGTTATTCAGTTTCTTCACTGTTCTCTCTTGTTTGTATTAGGTTTTATTGGCTGGTTAACTTAAATTCAGCAGTTGTCTTTGTCAGCATTTCTTATATCCAGCAATCTGTGGCCAGGAACCTTGGTTTTCTTATCCCATTTGTATCTGTGCTTATGGCTATGATCACAATTCACATGGTGCGTGGTGAAATGATTTACAAACCCAAAACAGGTAAGAAGAAATGACTTCATAGGAAATGTCTTTAAAGATTATTTTCACGAAAGAGATCAACTTGCTTGTCTAAACAAGTGTTTTTCCCCAACATAACTGGTTTTGTTGGTGATGCTTGGGATTTTAACTCTCTGGGGCATCTGTGTAAGACGGAACATCTCCTGTGGAGCTAGACCTGTAGATTTTGGATAGGCTGAAAAATTGAAAGCAGCCTTTGGTAAGCTTACAAATATCCTCTATCGTGTTCCTAGGTCAAAGCACTTGCCTGTGCAGGAAGAGGTACTATATGTGTGCTTGCTGGAGGACTTTACTGTAGCACGCTTGGCTCAAAGTATGCCCAATGAGTTTAGATGAATTGAAGCAGAGTTTGGACCTATGCTAAGGCACCAAGCACACTTCTGTTTTCTCCTTTGTGTGCTTCAGACCTTGGCCTGAGCTTGCACCTGAGCAACCAAGCAATGTGGTTGGTAAGCAAGATAGGAATTAAACCGAATTGCCAATGTAGATAAGCTAGTAGCAAAGCTGTTCTATAATATCCTTTATCTCGCAGAATGTCTGCTGCATATTTTTAGTTCGGAGTGCTTGCCAATACCACATCAAGCATTTGTACATAACTGAAAATAATTAGAAATTCTGAATAGCTCTAAATAGCGTTTGGCTGGGCGGACTATGGAGATATCTTAAAATACAAGTTCTTACACTTTTGGAATCTCACCAGTTAGTACCTTACTTAGCTCTTCAAAATCTTCTCATGACAATTACCTCTCTGTTGACCACGCGCAGAAATGTAGGTGGAGCCTAGGTGATCTGCATAAGACTATAAGTGCCCAAACCTTGCTAATCTTTTCCCAGTAGACTCCAGAAGTTGAAAGCAATTTTTCTGTTATTTTGTTATTTTTATTATAAATGTAACCTGAAACCTGAAAAATATATTAGCACTGAGGAAATTAATGCCTAAGCCAGATGCCTGGGAATATCCTAGTGATCGAGTCAAAACAAACAGAACTAAAGAAGTACATCCCCTCCATGCAGCCCCAAAAACATCACATTAACGTCTGACTGAGGTCTGCAAAGACTGGCATCAGATCAGCTAGCTCTTTATATCAAGAATGGTGGTTGACTGCACTACAGATGTTAAAAGCTAATCGAGAGCCTGGAAATGTTCTTCCATATTCACCCCTGAGCTGGACCGCTTTGTATGGGCTAAATCTGTAGTGTTTTATCATCTAACTAGTTTAATTAAGCTAAAGTAAGTAGGCATAATCTGCGCATTTATGATAATATTGGCCATTCCATAAAACTAGCAGAGTATTTGTTTGTATCATTAAGTGTTTTTCCTATGAGTGTTGTTTGATATTTTTAGCATATGTTTTCCAAGTCTTTGCAGAATGCAAGTCTCTAGGCTAATATCTGCAAAGTTTTTCATCTCCTTAGTCAAAATAAATGATAATGTACTTTGTACATTCCAATGAGATGGCTAAATTGGAAATTCTTCAGAACTGTAATTCAAATCCATCGCTGACCTTAAATTATTTTTATATATGATACCTTTTTATTTTAGGGTAACTTTTCAAATGTGGAACATGCATTCAATTATGCTTAGCTGTCAAGCATGGATTTCATTTGCATTTCTTCCCACTGCTATAATTTTGGGGACTGGCAGGTGACCAAAGATGAGGAAAAATTTGTATCTACCATCTAGGGTGCAATGTAGGCTTTTTTTTATTGTAATTAAATAGCATAGATATTCATGATTAGATCAAGGTCAAAGCAGCAGAACATTAGAGCCAAGGACTGCAGTATAAAGGAAAGGAAAAATTGCTTTCAGAAAAGTTGTAGATTTCTATCTAGATAGATGTTTTTAAGAAAATGTTAAAAATAAAAATGTAGAATATATGACGTTGATCTATATAATGTGTCCCAATATAAATATTTATGTTTTCTAAATATATCTCTTTAATAACTGATCAGATTTGCAATCTGAAGAATCCATCACGATGGAGTTGTGTGGGTTTTGTTTATTAATTTGCTTTTTAAAAAGGCGTGAGGTCTTTATTCTAACTATATCATTGGCAAAATCCTCTTGTTATCAATTAGGTCTATGTATCACCCAAGATGTTTCTAAAACAGCAATTTCAGGCAGCTTTTATTTCCTAGTTTACTAGAGCTTAGACTCTGCTTGGGATTTCATGCGGAGTAACACAACTAAATGATGTATTTGCCTGTTTTGCCTAGTGCAAAACGACATTTTTATAGGTAATGGGTGGAGATTATATTAAGGTGGGTATCGGCTGATCCTTTAGGAAAGGCATGGAAATGTTAGGATGTTTTTATTATTTTAGTCTTTCTTTTAATGAGAATAAGCAAAAAGAGTCTGTCCTATATCTTACATTCCAAAGAAAAGATGATGGCCATGGCTATACTCAATGAAAAGGTCAGATAAACCAGAAAGCATCCATGTCGTCACTTTCAGCTATTCAGTGGCTTGATCCTAACGTATTCTGAGCAACTCCTGAAGAATTGATTTCAACACTGTGTGTTTTCCAAACCCCTGCAGAGTGGTAATAACACCACATAACTGCTGTTAATTCCTTTCTCGTGAAAGTCCAGACTCTCCTACAGGAAAAAGCAAGAAATTATCACTTCTGATTTAAAACATGACTATAGCTCTTCCTGTGAGCTGAGTTGATACTGACTTGAGTTTTCTTCCAAGTTTTTTTTTTTTTTTTCAACTTTTGAAAATAACTCATCTTTCGCAAGAAAGCCCCAAATTGTACTTTTTTTCTGATTAATTTTTTAGTGAAGTCACTCTGGAAGTCTGCAAGCTTTTCTTCTTAGCCTTCATATTTGGTCTTAAAATATTCTAGACCCTAAACTTAAACATCACTTGTGGTATATGGTAGGAATGATCACTTGGTGCAGTCATAATGAACACTTAAAGCTGTACCCAATCTCTATGTACAATGCTGCATATGTAATATTTGAGATTATTCAGCAATGCCAACAGTCTACAGGTCAATGTTAAATAGTCAGTGGAGAATTTTAAATGGTAGTTATCTAACAAAATTCTCTTTCTTAGTTCTCTGTCTACAGTAAATACTTGCAATAGGTGCACAATTCTTGAAAATACTTTCCGTATCAGAGATAGTAGAGAGACAAAGTTCCCCTCTACTGTCTTCTCGGTTCACCTTAGCTTTTGGACGGTGTCTGTTTACAAAACCCTCTATTATTGCAGTTCCTCAACCCTTCAGAAAAGCAGAGAAGTGATGTAACCCCTATTTTCAAGGTTGGACAGCAAACCAAAGATAAATGAATAGGCATCTCCAAGCCCTAAGCCTGTTTTTTCCATCCTCACTTTATTTTTTGTTTCATCTGATTCTGAGAACCGAGTTAGCAATTCCAGAACCCAGTAACCAGTAGGCAAGTTTTAATATGCCAAAAACCACATTGAAAACTTCCCAAGTGGTGCGCTGTGAGAGATGAGAAGTCCTAAGATAATAGTTCTGGCTTTGAGACTGAGCCATGAAAATTCTCTAATGCAGCAGCCCTCTTCTGAGCCTGCTTTCCTTCTCACCTCACTACTACCCTTCCTTACCTGGACTTCAACAGAACTGGAAGATTTCACTACTGTCCTGAATTGAAAACTATCATTCAGTGATCAAAAAGCAAAGGAAAATAATACCTTACCTGCTCAACTACAACAACAAATTCTCACGGTTAAATAACTGGTAGCAAAAGGTACCTCTTTCTGTCAAAGTTCAGCTGGATTGCTTTTGTAACAATTAGGTTGTGTACTAGTTGGCCTCCAAAAAATTGGTTTTGAGCAAATGTAGCCTGTTATGTTCTTTTTGGGGAGGGAGAAGGAAATAAGGGTAATCATGTCAGGTTGTGGTTTTCCCTCCTAAAAGAATGTGTCTTGGCTTGTTAATTTTGGCAGCAAGTAAAAATGTACCAATGCCTAATGTCTCTGATTGTTTACAGACAGTTCCCTGCTGATGACTTTTGGGGTCATTGCTAGTGCACTGAAAACATGCTGTGTCCGCTATCGCTACTTTAGTGGAGGTGTGACAAACTGGTTAGATCATGCCAAGGAAAACTATGGTGGTCAGTACAGTGAAACTCAGGTGGAAAGCACAAAATCACTTGCCAGGCTCTTTCCATTGTTTGCTTTCCAAATTCTATATAGAACGTGTATTATGCAGGTGAGTACACAGCTTCTAAATGAAAATCTTGGAAAAAGATTGTGATATGTTTACTACTACATTTCTAGGCATGGTTTTTAACAGTTGCTTTACCAGCAGCGCAACCTGGCTGAATGGTTGTAATTGCCTGAGAATATACCCTGTGGTCTCGTTTCGTCTTGACTAAACCAATTTTACTTATTTGATTGGTGAAGGAACTTGAGTGACTGCTTGCTACTCATTTCTCTGAATCCTTACTAGTTGAGAAATGTAGTGCCAGGTAGTTCTGTGCTCCTCAAACTGGTGTGTCACACTTACTGGCTCAGCATTCTTTTGAAAAAAATATGATTTTCCAATTTCTTAAATGGTTACTCACTTGTAGGGAGAGGTAGAAAATCTCTTTGCTGTTTTAGTTGCTTAACCCTGTCAAATCAATAGAAGGAATATGTGGCTGGTGTACCTACACCAGAAATGGGTGGTTTTCCATTTGTAGAAAGAAGTAGTCCTTTCATAGCCTCTCTATCAGACTATGCAGTTCTTTCTGCTTCTGAGTTTGTATATGTTATATAAACGTAAATGGAATCTTGTCAGCCTAAGTAGCTTTTTGACACTTCAGAATCATTTCTGACTGGATGATCCTGGTTGAGCAGGAGTTTCAGGTAGCTTACCCGTTGGCAACTGGCATAACAAAAAATTATGAGCTAGCTTGGGAATTTATTTTTACTTATTGGTGTTAAAATGAGCGCAGAACCTGCTTAAGGAAATTCTTACAAATAGGTAGCTTAAGTATGTTTCTTTATTAACATTCCTCTTGACATCCTTCTGCGTTTCCATCTCTGGCTCATTTTTTCCTCCTTCCGCCCCCCCACCCCCTCCCCATATGTAGCTGATGCTAGAAATTTTTAACAGATGGAAATGAAAAATCAGCCAGGTTCTATTAATCAGAGTTGCAATATTCAGGTATATATTCAGAAGAGAGAAAAGTATTTGCATTTTTTATTCCTTCAGTAGACGCTTTGATAAGTCTAAAGTTGTTTTTTTTAAGAGTAGGTAATAGATATAGATAGATATGGGGATGTATCTATATATATATGTAAGTAAATATTTATAATTTAACTTTTTTAGGATTCATAGTATTTTCTCCATATTAAGTTAACAGGTTTCAGTGCCTGTGATTGATGTTAATGATAACTTAATTCCTATTAATAAGTCAGTTCTGATTTGCAATAGGCAATGGAAACTAGGAACCAGCAAAATTGGCTTAGTTCTGATCTTTCATAGTTCAGTCACCATTTATTCACCCTTTTGCAATTTATATCCTCATTTGGAGGTGAAATATAGGTGAAAGCATCTGTATTAAGAGCTAGAATTCTGAGTAATTCTTAAGGGCTGAATGGATTTTTGATGAACAGGGTTAACTATAACCCTCGATGAGTAACCTTTGAGTTAGGTCTCTAACTGTATTTTAGTGCTTTTGGACGACTAAAAAGCAGTAAAACTCTACCTGGATTTAGCATTGCCAGTCATATTGAAGAGCTGTGTGGGGTAGTGCAGGAATCCAGAGTTCTCTAAAAGCATAACATTCATGTACAAAAATAAGACTTAAGAAAACAATTCTACATCTAACTCTGTCATGACTGTTTTTTTGTGAATTGCTTAAGCTGCCTTTCTCTTCCTGTCAGTCTGTAAAATGGAGTGGACTGTAAGTTTGTTGCATATGAAATTGCAGTGCTTAATTTATCAAAAGTTTCTCCCTTCCCCTCCACCCCCCCCCCAAAAAAAAAAAAAAAACAGAAAAACCTGTTGGTGGAAGCCAGTGTGATGAGGGCTTTTTTTATTTGTTTGTTTTTAAATAAATAAATTTAATAGGTTTTTTTTAAGTTCATCACAGAAAGAGGAGGAATTGCTTGCTCTTGGTGAAAGACTGTCTTATAAATCTACTTTAATTTCATACCCAAATGACTGCTATTGGTGGGTTGCTTGTCTTCTGATTACTGATTTTTCTTCTGCTTTCTATATCCAGAAGTACAATTAAGTCCTTTATAAGGCTGTCAGTCACATCTAAGCTGATTGTAAGACTGTGGCCAAATCTTCATTCCATGTAGCTTTTAGAGTTATGTGCTGGCAAGGGTGTTTTAAAAATTACTCCGATCTAGAGCACACTATCAGAAATTCAAAATAACTCTGCATCTTGCTATTGTAAAATGAAAAGGGAGTTCTGTTCTATCTGTAAAGAAATATAAGTGACTAAAGTATTAGGCAGAACTATTTAGTATGTTGACTCATAGCACTAAGTAGGGATAGTCAACTAAACTAGTGCAAGCTACTAGATTGTTGCTTAGATTTGTTAAATTGAGGAGCAAAGAAGTAGAAGGAAAATTTTAAATCTTGGCAAAGAACGAGAATGTAACAATCCAAAACGCTTTTATAATGAATAGCCGTTTTCTTTAGGACAGTTGGTATTTGGTTTACTGTGGCTTCTTCAGAAGGAAAGCAGAATGAAAACTTGGAGAATTTTCCAAATACAGTAGAATTTAATGCATTAAATGTAACTGGAAAACTAATGAAATGCATCTTTCCGTAATACAGATTCCTTCAGGGTATTATCTCCAGACCATGAATTCCAACTTGAATTTCAGTGGATTTGTCTTGCCAATTGCAGCAATGAATGTGATAAGCATTGTACCATTATTAATTCTTGTGCCTATTTTGGAATGCGTTAACTCATGTCTCTTTAGTTCCAAAGAAAGTAGGCATTCTCCAACAATTTACATTGGTAAGTATAAAATACATGTATTTACACAGTTTTAATGTGTATTCTGTTTTTGAAAAAGAAACTTGTGTAGGATCACCTATCATCTATTTAATTACTCCAAACTATAAAAATGAAGATAAACTTGTTTTGAGATGATTCTCAGAGCTGTATACAATTCAGAGATATTGCAGGAAAGGCAGTCCTGAAGTACTAGATTAGATGCCAAGAAAAAAATGCCCAAAACTTATTTAGGGAATTTATTGAGCCTCTTCTGTCCAATAGAAGATGCTGATAAATGCTCATAAATAACTAGGAGGAATCCTGAAAAATTAGTGAGGAAAACTTGTGCTAACCATTTAGATTTGAGACTTATGCTGACTTGGTTATCTTCTGGTTGTTTCTTTATCCACTAACTTTTTCAAAGTTCATCTACTTTGGAAATCTCTTTTTAAGATGAGAGAGTCTTCCAGTTAGTTGTTCTCTGACACTAGAGAAATGTTCTGTTGTTCTAAATAATGGTTTTGGATTTAAATGCTTAGGTTATAAATAGAGGCCCCTTCCCCCCCTTATTCATATACTGTAATTACATCTATATTAGGAGTGCAGCTTATAAGAGGATTACTGTATTATCACTAGTGTAGTTTCTTTCAGACTCTGCAGTTGCAACCCACATGAAATAAAAGTATGTGGTCCAATTCTATCTGCAATAGGTGTTTCTAGAACTGACAACAAGCAAAAGAAAACACGTAGACAACTACGGAACGCAAACAGATCTCTTTCACAGGACTGCTAATCTCAGTGAGCAAGCTGAACACTTCACAAGTAGATTACTTGGAGAGGTACAGGTTTCTTCTCTAGTATTAGATTTTTAAATTGAATGTCTAATATAAAATTAACAAACACCTGAACAATTGTCTTATTTATTAAAATCCTAAAGTGAAAAATGCCTTAACGTGTGTTCACTTACATAAAATGAAGCCAAGAGGGATCTCCAAAACTGATGTATTATCTCTTTCTCACAGAAGTGGTACAAACAAGTCTTCTCTGTCATGAGTTTGAACGTTTTCGTCACTAAGCACGTGATTTCAGACTTTAAGATCGGGGCTTATCTCACAAATGCATAGCCTAGAAGCAGTGATGGGTTTAGCAGAGACTGGGCTTCACGAAGTTAGAGGTCCTCCATTGGCATCACTTTTTTTTTTTTCCCCCCCTCCCAACCCTCTCCCCCGCAATCTTCCAAACCTCTTATGTCCTGGGATCTAGTGTGTTTCTCTGCAATCCTCTTCTGATACCAGCTACATGTAGTAACACCAGAAAAGTATCTTCTGTTCTATATTCATTTAAAACTACTTCCTTTCACAGATATTCCCATTAGAAAAGTGAACTACTTCTCCTATATGTTGTATCACCCAGCCTGCATTACAAACCTCTGACAAAATATTTATAAATGACTATTTTTCTCTGTGTGCTACTATTAATTCAGTGCCCCATGGCAAGCAGTGAGTACTGACACACGCACAGAGGTATTAATCTGATTAAATTAGTCTAATTAAGAGTGTTATTGGGTTTTATACAAACCAGATGCATGTAACGCAGCAGGTTGCAATTACCCTAGTTTTTAAAATAACATCTGCATTAAAATACAAAAAGCACATTCAGATAATAGTTTTCCTTAAAACCACAGAAATTTCAAGTTAGTGTTAAGGTTCTATCCTGTTATGTTGAACAGCAATGGAATATATACAGTGGTTCATTCTTAATAGCTTCATTTATGAAAATAGTCTCCTGTTAGGGATGATAAATTACCTGAAGCACAAAAATGCCTGTGAGTAGAGACGATGGCTTTAGATATACAAGTATATGACTGCACCTGCAAATATGGTAGACCTCTAAGTACCAATATTTTTGCCAGTAGTTAATTAGGTTCACAATTATTTTCAGGAACAAAATTGAAGGTATAAATAGGCTGCTGGTGTTAAGCCAGCCTCTAGCTATATTTTAATGCCAGTCTTGTAAGAGGAAAAAATTTAAATCATTTTCTGCTAATTTTCAGTGTATTAAGAATATCAGTTTTCAAAGACAAACCATATAGACAATGTCGAACTAGAATATCTGTGCTCACTCTGTAGTAAGGATTTACAAGAAAACCCCAAGCTATATTACTTCCTCTATAATTGTTGGGTCTTTTGTAAACTAGTTATGATGTAAAATATATGAAACTCTTAAAATGAGTTTTAATTGTGTCCCAAATATATTGTCTGGACCACTTTACCAAAAAAGTAAACATTTGTTAAATTTAAAGAGGGTTTTTTTTCCAGTTTCATACTTGTTTATGCTGCTTGATTTGGTCAAAAATACAGAAGATTCAGAAGAGGGTTGCTTGTTTGTGCTGACTGGATAGTGGTCCCTCAGTTGCAATGAGGTTGCTTAGAAAATACCATGAGAAAATGTTGTAAGTGAAAAGAGGGATTAATTTAGGACTGAGGTAGGTGAGGACACAACTGTTCCCTGAGTAGCAGGCAGGAATGGCTAGCTGACTGTGAAGCTGGACAGGTTTTTAAAAAAAAAAAAAAAAAAAAAGAAAAAAAAAGGGTGAGGGGAAGGAAAGGAGTGGATGACATGTAATAGTACAAAGCGAGAAGTCTTACACAATTTCTGCTATGGGAACTATGGGCTTCATCAGCTGGAAATGAGAGAAAAGCAGGGAAACCTACAAATCTAAACTATTTACATGATATCTATTAGCAGATATTTTGACTATCGAGGAAAAAATGTGATCGAAGAGCATATGTATTAAAGAGGTATTTCCAGCTACAATAAGGCAAGTAAGCATCATTTCTTGAGGAGCTGGTAAACTCTCCTCTGGAAGCTTGGGCACAGCTTGTTAGTCATGATCAGAAGGGCTCAGATGTCACTGGATGCACGTAAGGAAACTTATCTTATGAGGGAAAACTTGGTTTATTTAGGATTACAAAGCAGAGGCTCAGAAAGGTTGTAGTTGCTGCTTATGAATACCTTCAAGGATTCATACAGGAAAGCAAAAGAACTTTTCTACCTAAGAGTGATACCGGTACAGAATAATGGGTATACCTTGACCACTTCCATACATATAAAACAGAAGGCTTTTAATAGAGCAATAAAATTCTGTAAAGGTCTCAGTGGGAACAAAAAAATTCAATCTAGTTTTAAAGTGGAGCTAGAAATTTTCTTTTTAATTAGAGTATAATGTATTGACACATTACACATGTGTGCACACACATTCGTATTTATTGCCTGCAACTGCACTAGGCTGGAAGGAGTGTAAAATGTATTCTTTCGGCTAGACAGTAGCCAAGTACTAGCACTGCTTTACCTTTCTGATAGGGGAAGGCTTTCCGATGGCACAAAGATAGATAAGTCTTTCAGCAGAGCTGTTGTCTGTGATACCTGCACAAGTTTGATTTTGTTGTTGCAGATAGGTGTGTATATGTGTGTATACATTTTTTTATATATGCACATATATAACAAAACCCTTTGACTGTTCATGTCAAATCTTTTAAGTGAGGCACTTGCCATTCATGAAGTAAGGTGAGGCTGCTTAAGACAAGGAGGAAACAGTGCACAGCAGTGCCGGTATTTGAGCCAAAGCTGTTAAAAGAAACCACACCTGTACTTACACACCTGGTGTTCTCACACCTGTACTTCCATTATAGGTTAGAAATGCTGAGGAGTCGCAAGCTAGTCAAAATCAATGAGAGCTCAAAACATTTGAAGTATAAATGTTTCAAGTTCAGTAGAGTTATTTGAAAATTCTGGATTCTTTGCCTTTCTGAGAAGTTATGATCACTTCATACTGTCAACATCAAAAAGCATAAAATAACACATTTAAATAATGTTCTTCTTGCAGTGGTTTGTGGTGACATCTGTGATATTTAAAACAGTTAAGTTTATTAGAAGCTTTTTCTTGCATGATAAGGCTAGATACAGACTTTTTTTCTCCCCTCATGGCCCTGTGTTCCTGTACAGACTTGTGCAGGCAGGTGGTAGGACTTCATGCACTGTATGTGCCAGGATATATTGAGCAATGATTTATGAATCATGCAGTGTTACTTCTTCAGGACATGCAGGAGGCAACTGTAATCACCCAGTGGCTTATGTGAAGTACTTAGAAATGTATCTGCAAACTTCCAAAGTCCACAGCATGGCTTTTATGCCATTTCTCCCTCATTAGGAACTGAGAAGAAAATTAAGATCTGGTTTTTTTAAATGAGAATCATGTTTCACTATTGCCCTGCCCCCCCCCCCAAAAAAAAAAAATTTAAGCAGAAGATTATCTTTTCCAGTAATGCGGCTCATCTAATCCTGAAATGTTGAACAATCTAGCAAATGCTACTGTCTAGCAAATGAACTTTCAAAAGTAGGTCAGGAGAATTTTATAGGGTAGGGGAAAGGAAAAGTATAGGAAGGCCTCATTTGCTAAGATAGATCTGAAGTGGTGATCTCTTTCTTTTCCATGTATGCTAGCCTGCTGCTTTAAAAATATAGCATTTCAACTACCTTAATTTCTTTAGCTGGTGAATGATTTCTGTCTAATTTCTAGGAAACCAAAGTACCTGTTTTGCTATTATTATTTACACTGAGTAGGACTTGCACTGGGTAGTAACAGTATGCCAGTCTGGCATGCTGTCTGAGATGGAGGGATATAAACCTACCTATAAAACTTGAAGTGCTAAAAATTCCCAATCCAAGTTCTCATTCCTCAGTTCAGTGGCTAAGGAGAGATCATTGCTTTACAGTTGAAGCCAGTACAGTTGCCTGCAATTGCAGGCAGTCAGCTGCCATGATTCATGGCTGGTTTAAACACTCTGCTTTTGCTCAGTGCAGTGTTAATGACAGAGTTACTGATGTCACCTGGTTCGCAAGAGATGTTAAATTCATGTTAGAAGTCCCGTGGTTGTTACTGGGTCACATGTTTGTTTTCTATGCAAGAAAAAGCAGGTAAAGCATACAGCACATAGGTATATTTCAGAATCGCCTCGGTGGTTGTATAGGAGTATTTCCTCTTGCCCTTAGTGGTCTTATTCCTACCTGATCTCTTGCACTCTCTAGAAGAGCTGCCTTCTCTTCCCTCCCTCCTCACCTCTCCCTGCTTTCCCCCCCCCCCCCCAAAAAAAAAAGTTCTCATTTATGACTTTTTTCTGAAAAACTTTTCTTTCTCATATAATCTTCATCCCTAAATTCTTCTGTGTTGAACTGGTATCTCTTTGCCATTGTTTATTTAGAGTTAAGCTTGCAGGGTAGGAAGTACTTTTTATCCATTTTTGTGTGTGCAGAAAGGATGCATTTTGATAGGATGACTCTTTTGCATGTATTGACTCTGCTTCATTTTCTTCTAAATATTGCAATCCTTTAACTACAGCCTTGATGAATACTCTATGCTCTCTACCCAGTTGTAGGTCAATTATGTGCCGCGCTTTCTGTGATGGTTGCTGGATTCTCTGAAATACACCGAAAGCATTTCCCTCAGGTGGAACAAACCCTTTCCAAGGAGGTCCTCCTGGTCTCTTCCATGCCTTGTTTCCACTTAGCTCCTCAGTACATTTTACTTGGAGTGGCTGAAGCCCTGGTAACTCCCTCCTGTAAGTAAAATTTAATAGGCTAAAGTGAGAGCGTTCTGACTTGTACAGAATGGTATCAGCTTCCTAAAAATAGTTACTGTCATCAGATATTTTATCCCTGGCTCTTTTCAACAGTATTAATGAGCAGATCTATACTTTACCTGCTTCAAAGGAGCAGATCTTGTTGGCTGTAATACACAGTGAGCAATGATGTTGTCCCAGATTAACTAGAATATGAAACAGCCTGGTCAGATGACCAGGTTCAGTAATCTCCCATTTGGCAGGGGAGGGGGTGGTCAGACCAGTGGGGTTCTGGGCACAGATGCATGACGGACACTGATGTTGAACCTGCTTCCGGCAGCAGGCTGGTCCTGATGGGCTCCTAAAAGCCCTTCTAATCTGAACTGTTCTACAATTCCGTGATGATTTTCTAGAGACTAAACAAATGCACAAGTGACAGGTCACAGTCCATGTGCACTTTTTTAGGCCACAACCAAAGTAAGGTGAGGCAATCTAGCTTAACTATTTTTATATTGAGTCCACCTAAATAAAATTGCAACATGTTTATTGCTGACTTGGAACATATGCATGCAGTTAGTACAAGTCAACTGACAGGCTAATTTGAAGAACAGTGCAGGCAGATGTAAGATTTTATTTGTGCTCCAATCAGGAGTCATGTGAACATGCCTGCACAGAGCATTATGGCTTAGCTTGTGGCATGGAGCTGGAGAGAAAAAAAAAAAAAAAAAAAAAATGCTGTGTCTCAGAGTACAGGCAGATCTTAGCTCATGTCTGCCATCCATAAATTATGTAGACACACTCTTGATTGCAAGTCTGAACCTTTTGTCCCTTCCATAATTTACCTTTCCACTTCTATACTGGCATCCCTGAGGCTTATTTTCTAATATGGAGCACACAAAGCATTTTACCTTCCAGAGCTTAAAAAAAAGTTAATACTAGAATAATCAAATCAACATTCATTTAAAGAAACATAAGTAAAGTAGTCAACTAGTTGATCTCTACAAGTACGTAATTCCGCAAGTTGAGTGTCTATTGTTCCAGTATGATCTCTACAAGCACTTAATTCCACAGGTTTAGTGTCTATTGTTCCAATACCACTCCAGCAATTTCAGATTTTTATTTAAGAGCAGGAAATAACTTCAGTGTCTCAACTCTCATTCTTACACTCTAAGACTAGTAAGAGCTGTCGGTCATGGTCTGTCACTAAAAAGGTAATTTTTCCCTAGTTCTAAATACTTAGCACTTTCATAATGCCTCTTCATCCGATGTCTCAGTTAAGTACTTGAGAGCTAGGTTTCTAGGCAGGTTATGTGGTTTCTAGGTTACAGGCTAAGTGTAACAGAAAACGTGACCATTTCTGTTTAGCTTAACTTCTTTTTTTTTTTTTTTTAAGAGGTGGCTTGCATACAGCTTTCTTATGCTTCTGCATGAGAAGAATATTTCTGATAGAATAAGGCTCTAATTTAGCACACTGAAACACAATGGAAGTTCACTGACTGGAAGATGACATTAGCCTTTAGAAAAGAAATAAGGCTCAACTTTGTTTTTGGTTGCTTGAAGAAGGATTATCATTAGAATATCTGAGAGGGGAAAAAAAAAGATTCTCTTCTCCATTATTTGCCACATTTAAATAAAAACTAAGTGCCTCATTTAAAAACTGCAGTAACAGGAGCAATTCAAGAACCCAGGGAAGTGGAAATAAGACTAAGTTTGACTTGCAAGTAGAGAAATAAAGGTAGGTATCAAAAAGAGCAGGCTACTGCGGTATCCAGTGGAGATCAGGGCCTCAGTTTGCCCACACATCGGTGTCTGGCACCTTTTGTGATGGAGTATCTAAGATATGTGGGACAGAGGGGGCACTCCAGGCTCTGCAGGAGGCCTGCTTGGCCGCCAGCTGCTGCTGCAGAAGAGCATGGTTCTACCATAGGGCCTGCACCCTTTTCAGTCAGCTCCATGCAGGCGCACTGGAGCATTTCAAGTAATACAGGGCATCAGTATTCAGGCCACTGAATTGAGCGCTAGATTTCTACTTCAGTTTGAACCGAATTGCTGATCAGGAACAATTCAGTGGATCTTCATAATCTGTAAATACACTTAAATGTCATTAAACCTAAATATATAAACTATTTAGACACCTAAATCGTTGTTTCACCTTTGCTGACATTCTACTGTCTGTGTTATGCAGAAGGTCAAATCAGATTAGCATAATTAACTCAGATCATGTACTGTCCTGTCAAGTAGAAGACAGAAATGTTCACACTTGTAATTGGAGGGAGGAGAGGAGGTATCTCACTTCTGGAGCGCTTGGTTAGAAGAGCTAGATTTGGTATACTGAAAGCTTTATCTAAATTTGAGCCCTGATACTTATAATTGTACTTACATAGTATATTTCATTATCTCTTTACTAGAGTTTTTACAGAAACATATGCTTCAGGTGGCATGAGCATCTCATAAAAAATAATTAATAGCATCATTTAACACTCCCCTAGCTCTGAATGAGGTCTTGTTTAAAAATGTACATATAATAAACTGCTTTCCCCACAATGCTACAGTGTAACTGAAGGCCAATATAAGAATGCACAGGCCTTTGACAGCTTGAATTTGTAACCCTAGTTTGCTTTAAAGTAGGAAATTACTCCTTAGAAGCTCAATGCTTTAAAAAAAAAAAAAAATCCATTCTGTGGGATAATATTAGCAGTCGTATGTCCCCACAATGCATGAGTTTATGAATTTGTCAGTGACAGCCTACCAGCCACAGCAGGCTTGTTACACTGCTGGTGAACAAATGATCTGGTATACTGTAACTGCTTTGCCCTTCAAATTGTTATCAGATTTGCAGTGATTGTTAAAGTATTGCAAGAATATTCTCTGCCCATCAAAATGTTTCAGATCACTTAGAAGCCTCGTAACAAACAGCTCTGTTAGTTAAAGGATATATTGGGAATCACTTCATTCACCAGTGAAATGCAATAGTCTCCAGGGTGAAATGCAGCAGCTCTTTAATAGTTTACAGCAGCACTTTGGGAGAAGTGAGGAACAGAGTATGCAGTTGAAACAGCAGGGGTGACTTAGGTAAGTAAGATACAGTTACCCAGGCTGAATTTGGCCAACATGCATGCTTTGCACCCCTGTTTTTAGAAGAAGAAAACTTTACAGGCTCGCAGTGACTAAAAGGGGTTAGGGCACTGACTGCACAATGTTTCAGACTCTGCAACACTTCAGACTGTACAGTTCTGTATAGAGTGTCCGGTGATCACTTCCTTTCTATGGCCCACAGGCTTTTGGTTCCTACTGCGAATGAGGAAAGTGCTGACTGTGGGTTGTTGGTGTGTGTGTTGTGTGTGGGTTTTTTTTTGTTCCCCCCTCCCGCCTTATTTCTTTAATATGGTTCCAAAGCCCTCGTTTGGACCTCCAGATTAAAGAGTGGGAGATGTTTTTTTTCAGACTTTGGTTTGTATTCAGTGATGCTTCATGCAACTTAGTATCCAAGTGGGGTTTTCTGTTAAGAAGTTTCTCAACATGGAGGTCATTCAAACTCAGCTGATCTAGCAGAATGGGAGACACTGGAGCCTGGAGAACTAGCGCGGATGAGAGCTCAAGATGCTTGCATTAGGAAAATGAGATTTTTGATAACTCAGGAAAGTAAGCCAGGGAACAGATAGCTATTATAAATACTTGTTACTGAAGGATAGATTAGCTAAATTGCAACAGGTGGGATTATAGTTACCCATATTAGAAGCACAGTTTCATCTTCCTTTTTTCCTGTGTTTGTTCTTTTTCTGATTTAGTCTTCCGGGAAGAAAGTGGAAAACAATGAGTCTTCAATATTAGGTAGTGACTTTGAGGGTTGCCCTCTGGGGAAGAGGAGCTTTGTCCAATCTTAAACAAGTTAAGGCAGCGCTCCGAATTTCAGAAGTATTTATTAGTGGCCTTGCTGCACTGGCTTTGGCGTATGAGGTCCCACTGTCCTGCAGTTGTTACACATCACATCTGCTTTCTTCATGCTCTGTAACTGCTGTGTGTGTGGCTTTTTTTTGTCTTGTTATGCCTGAGATTTTAAAAGGTGAAAGGAACTGTCTGGATGGAAGGACATTGCATACTTGTGGAATATTACTAGTTTTATATGGGATTATTTTTAGAGAGATTCATTTAAATAGTTTAGAGAATTCATGGTTAATAGGGTTCATGCTAACAAGTGTAGTTACCCTTCTGCAGCAAGTAGGTTATATGTTTAAAATATGTTAAGTCCCTGTTACAGACACATTGGGATTTTTTTCCTATGTTATCTATCTTCTGCCATCTCTAACTTTTTTTTTAAACACGTAACTGTAGCTATTTCCTTTCTAAAGGTTCTTTACTATCGTTCCGGCTTGTGCCAGAAAGAATTCGAGGGATTTCCATGCATTTTTTAGCACTCTTCAATGGAGCTGGCTGCTTTGTGGGAGCTTTCATTGTTCAAACAGTCCACACAGGCACTCGAGGTAAGAATATGCTCATGAGCTGTGTTCCTGAGCAGTTTTCTGATCCTATCAATTATTAATTTGGAGAAGAATGTAGCAGAATAAGAGAGGATGCCAAAGTTTTATCGATTTGCTTTCACAATTAAGATAGGAGGTAGACTTGCAGCTGTATTCATCCAATTTTAATGAGTCGTCTTATTTTTGGTAGGTAGAGTAGTCAGAGAAAGGCATCTTGCAGGAAGCCCTCACCTCCAATCTCTACTTCTGTTCTGAGAGACCAGTAGTACCCTTTGCCCACTAAAACATCTAATATACTCGTACACGTGCCTTATCCACATTTACATGGAATCCTCTGGCCATGAGAGCAAGATTTTAAAGGATGTTTTAAAGAATGTGAAATAGAAGGAAAAGTATGTTCTTCAGTACCTTAAGGCAAAGGAGGTTGGATTGAGAGTTTCAAAGGGATTTACTCTCCTCGACCTACTTCTTTACTCTTCCCCCTTTGCCCAGCTACTGGAAGAACCCCAAATCCTACATTCAGGTTCTGGGACAATATAGTTTCACTGTATTTTTACTCTTTCCAAAAAAATACTGTGATTCCCAGGGAACTTGCTGTCTTTCAAAACAAGTTTTGAGATTGTCTGTTGAGGAGGAGTATTTAGTGTAAGCCCTGACCTAGCGATTTCTTTAGGCTGGTAACTTTAAAGAGAGGTCAGTTTGTTTTTTCTTCTGTTAACTCCCTTTTTTTTTTTTTCCCCCCCTCTGCTGACGAATGTTTGTTCAATATGTAAAATATGTTTTGTAAGTAAAAAGCAAAAATGAAATATTTAAGAAAAAAATACTTAAGCAAAACATAGGAATTCCTATGTTTATGTATGTAAAATATAGGTCCCCTGGTTGAAACAGTACTTCTAAAGATGCTTGATGTTCATAAGCTTCATGGTTACTGCATTACAGAGCTCTGTTTTCTTACAGAGCACAACTGCTGGCTGTAATGCAAGACAGCTGCAATTACAACTGCTGCAGGGATTTGGAACTGCTCATGGTTAGGTTTTGGTTTTTCTGTTTTTGTTTGTTTGCTTGCTTGTTTTTTTACATAGAAAAAAAGTGCAGCAGAAAAACAAGGAAAAGTGAAAGTATAGCAAGATTTTAAATTCTTCTCCTAAGGTCTTAACAAATGAATGGTCCTTTGATCTGTAATGCTGTTGTTGTTTAAGTTAACGCTTAACTGAGAATTTGATTACTAGATATGAAAGTTTCACCTAGAGATGGGTTGAAAAAAAAAAAATAAAACAATAAGCAGAATATTTACTCAAATGAATCAGGCAAAGAACTATGAGTTGCCACATCATAGTGGAGAGCAGAGCTGCTTGAATTTTCTGCAATGGAACAGATTTTTCATCAGAAAATAACAGTTCAACAAAACTAACTTGAAGCAAGGCATCGCTGACTTTTTTGTTTTCCCCCCATTCCCCCTAAGTACGGCAATCATTAATTTTGAGGCTGAAATATTTTGTTCTGATAAAGCTGATGTATTTATTTCACTATAAGCTTCAATTTGACTTTTGTTATAATTAAATATTAAGAATATAATTGCGCATAATGTCAGCATCAAAACTTTTTGACTGTCATGCCACTATATGTATATATCACTTATTCCCTTATAGCATTGTTTTATACCAAGTACAATGGGAAGTTGATTTTTTTTTTTTTTTTTTTTTACAATTCAGTAACTTGTTAATTTTTTCTCTAATTTTATATCAAAGCAATTTTTTTCTAATCTGGATGAAAATATTTGATTGACCAAAAAGAAAATACTTGTTTCTTACCAGAAATACTGTTTTGGAGGCTTCAGGTTCTTATCCTGGCTGGGACAAAAAAATACCCATTGAACTCTGTTCCACACAGGCTGGAGTTGCCATGTTCTTTCCTATTTAGCTTAAGATTCTTAAGTGAGAAGTACTTTAACCAGAAAACTTCTTTAACTTTTAAGAAGCTATGTGGCAAAGTTATCTGCTTAAATTAAGTCTTTTTTTCAAAATTATGTCTCTTCTCTAGTTAGAACCGTTAGAGATTACCTTCTGTATTATCGGATCCTCACAATTTATTTCTACAAATATATGGCATCTCACTGGCGCTCTCTTTCCCAGTTTTTGCTGGTAGAACCAGATGAATTTTTATAAGTTACCATAATTTACACAAAGCACACTTGTAAATAAAAATATTTCTGTATCTTAATTTGCCATAATCCCTCAGGCTGAAGGCTTAGAATATTGTTCTCCCCTGCCCACCCTTGCCAGACTTTAGTCTTGCTGAGTCATAAACCAAAGTAGGCTTGGGATTAGGCTTCTGAAGCTGGGTATAGGTTATTTTAAAAAAAAAAAAAAAAAAGTTTTGGGTTTGTTTGCTTTGAAAGCAGACACTTAACACAAAACAAGAAAATTTTGTATAATGTCCCTTCTGTTAGTGATGTCAAACACTATATTTCTTCCAAGTTTTCCATTATACTTCTCATGATGTTTCTGTGATTTGAGGAGAGAAGGAAGGAATCAACAACATAATTCTTTTTTAATTGATAAAACCTGGTGGTTACTTATTGTGCCTTCTAAAAATGACAGCACTTCAGAGAATAGATTGATGACTTCTCTTAGGTAATGGCACAGATTAAGCTCTCATCACTCATGTTTGGATTTTTTTCAACTTTGTTTAAGGAGTTTGTAAAACACACAGTATCTGAACAATTTATGGAATGGCAGGGAAAGCAAACCAAACTGAACTGGGCCGGGGGGGGGGAAACGTTCCCCCCCCCCCCCTTAAAAAGTTAAAATTTTTTGAAGTAGACCTGAAGATCAAAGTTCTTTCTATTTTGCTGAAACAAGAAGGCAATGTTTATGTAATACTTCTGTAAAATATAACAAGGTTCAATGTGTGGCTCTTTGGCTATGGTTGCTTTTGGCTTGTTCCATTATACTTGTTTCTCTAGAACTTGAGCCAAGACTATTTCTGATTCTCCCATCTTTAAGCAATGGGACCATGATTATCATGAAGCAGTTCAGGATACAGTAAAGTAGACCCTCCAATGTGCATTGTGAAGTGCTGAAGCATGGAGGGTGTTGACAAACTTATTTAAACCTCTTGATACCCTGTTTCGTGTCACTAGCTTGAGTTTTGTTTGGTTTTTTTTATTGGCAAAGTTGATCAAATATCAGTCACAGTCTAAGCTGCATTAATCACTTAACGCATCTATGGAGGATGGTGTGAATATGATAAAATAAGACTTTTTTTTTTTAAATCTGACGAGTGCAAACAGATGATGGGTGACAGTGATATTTTCAGTACAGGCTGGGAAACTGCTTTCTTTTAGTTTTTACCTCTCCTAACATTTTAACTGAAGAAGATGCAAGGCAAAACCTGTCCTCCTATGCCAATCATTTCAGAACAAGTTTCTCTAAAAATATTAATGTAAATACGTAAGGGAGGGGGAAGTCAGAGGAAGGAAATTGCCCCAGACATGGGTTTTGTGGGTGGGTTTTTTTGTGGGTTTTTTTTTTTTTTGCTTGTTTTCAGGGAACTGGGTTTTTTTGTGTTCCCCACCTCCTTCCAGTTTGGAGCCTTGTGTGATTCTAAATACCAAAGATGATAAAGCTAAAGAATATTTCTTGCAGTCCAGATGGTAGTGTCCACCAGTGCCTACTTAGCTAATAAGGATTAGAGGCAGACTGAGGCTTTTAATTTGGAGATGATTTAAACACTCAATATGTATCCCCTAACTTGATGAAATGACTGAAGGAGATACAATCCTTTTCTAAGGTCTGAATTACAATTTTTTTCTAAGAACAGTCTATAGTTGCAGGTTAGCAGTAAAATGTGGGATTCATAGAGAATAAGCTTACCTGTAGGATGTTCTTCCTGTGCTCCTTCTGTGTTTTCCCAAAACTAACATACTATGGTGTTATCTAGGTAGCAGGACCAAACACCTGCCTGTGCAGCTTTGGGCTTCATTGTGAATCCCTTGAGAACTCTAAGGATGCCATCATAATAATAGATACTTCCTGTGCACTAGCATATGCAGAAACACTGGCTTGCAATCCTTTCAACATCCTCTTTTGTGGCTACTGTCACTATCTTTCGGTCATCGTCAGTCATCCACCAGGAGCAGCACAGGAAAGAGTTTTTTGCCCATGTCCCAATCACTTTTTCACCTACTTTTCTCCTTGTGTTTGTAGGATCAGGTGTTCTCTCTGGGTGTTTTATAATAATTTTATAATATTTCATACTACCTGAGAATCTTTGCAAATCTGATGAGACTGCAGAATGTCAGTGAAAGTTTATCAGATGCTTTATTTCAGCAGTATGCAGCAGGCTGGAAGAAGACCTCAGACCAATCCTAATCTTTGTCTCCTAATCTGTTCTAAATTTGCCATGAAAAGCATAGCCAATTCACCTCTAACCAAAAGGCTTCTTAAAGGCTCTTTAAAATATACACAGCTGAAGGAAGCTTCTGATTCCCTGTGGTGATTCATGCAGCATTTGCATTGTTGGAATAAAAATGGAAATCAGGAGCTTGTTTTAGAAAGTTAATTCCCAGTGAGCAATTATTTGTGTGACAAACCAACCTTGTAATTGACACTTCCATTGGCAATCTCCATAGAAAAGTAAAGGATTGACAGAACCCAAAGGCAGTATCTTTTGGGGAAAAATGAATTGTTAGCGTATTGCAGGCTGATTAAAGGATGAGAAAGTTCTGAACTCTTCAGAACAGTAGTGCCCAGGGCATCTTATTCCATTAAAAACAAACTGGCCCAGTAAGTTCCTAGGATTCATGGCTGAGAGTAAAAACCTGAAAATATGAACCAAACCCAAGCAACGCAAGGTGCTGGAGTCTGTAGACAGCTTGTGAAAGCTTTTAGTGGGCTAAGGTGCTAAAGTGTCTAAAGGGAGTTTACACTGCCTGAAACATGCGGTTGAAGTTTCAGCACCAGTGGCTTTTATCCTATAAACTTCATGCCAGTGGAGGATTCCCTGTGCAACAAATGTAAATAGAAGAAAATGTAGTTCAGGTCTTCCCTGCTTCCATTAAAGAAATAGTGCGAAGTAAATATTTTTGGTTGAAACTGGGAAATGGTTAAATTAATCTTTGCTGTACCCACTCATGAAGATATGTTTTTGGCAGTAGGAGAAGAATCTGGGTGTCTTCAGTACTGCTGCCACTCTTGCTTGCCTGTAGTGAAAGGAGACCCTACCACCACATCGTTATCCCTCACAAAAGGGAAAAGAAAGCCTTGTTTCAACCTTTTGCTTGACTAGGGTAATAAATGAGATATAGAGCTGGAATCTTACCATGCCAACTTTAGTTCTGGCTCAAGTAAATCTTTGCTGCTACTTATGCTGTTGCTGCTTTGTAATGCTGAATTTTTCAAAGGCTTTGTATGATTGTCTTTGTTTTAATGTTTAAACATTGCCAATTTTAAAAAGAGAGGAAACGGAACAATGATCTTCCTCCCAGGTCGTGGAGAAGGCTCATGGTAAAAGCAGAACCCAGATCTCCTGATCCCCAGGTTGGCATTCAACCTTGATTGATTTTAAAAAAAAAAAAAAAAAAAAAAATCCCACTTTTGACACTTTAATATGGTGTCTTTCTTAGCATTAAGCCAGTTTCAAAGGTCTGTTTTACTCTGTTCTCTTGGTAGCTGCTAGATTTTTTTTTTAACAGCTCAGTACTATTTAAGTACATATTTTCTGTTCAGCTTCCATTGTAAACTGAGTTCCATTATGAAACTCCTGCTGCTCATATAGTTAGACTAGCCGATGGAAGTAATCTAACAGACAGTGTGAACTCTGCTTTGACAAGCTGTAGCGCAGAGCCCCATGCTTGCTTTCTCTTTCATCAGATAGACTCTTTCCTTCTCCTTGAGTTCTACTGGCCACTGGGGGATGTAAAATGAAAAACTACCTGATTGTGAATTATGACAGTAAAAGTTTATAAGCTACTAAAATGAAGTTATAGTACCTAGGAGCTCAGTCAACTGACAATGTTAAATGATAAGTTTTAAAACTTGCTTTGAGATAATGCTGGAAAAGGAACTGCGCATGCAGAGGTGAGGTGGTGCTGTGACAGGCAGGAAGGTAACGTGGCACAGAACAAACTCTGGAGGAGTTGGGGAAAACTACTGCACTGCTGGCAGTTATTCTGTGTTAATCCCAGGAGAGTTGAAGAAATGTGTTGACAGCTCTGAGATGTGGACGAAAAAGAAAAACGTAAATATCTTAGGTGTAATCCTTTGACTGGTGGCCGTCCTGAGTCGAGGAACTGTTTCTTCTCTAAATCTAATTAGAAAAACATTGAGAAGCTAAGAATAGCAGTGGATGGCTTTTGTTGTCGATTAATGATCAATTAAGACTATCAGGTTTGTATCATGCAGTTATGCCAAAGAAGTGTAATTCTCCTCCCCTTCCTTTTAGCCCATCCAAGTGGTGAATAGCTACTCTATTTAGATGGGGGAGGATTTGATGCTGAAGTTTCAGGGAGCCAAGAAAAGTGCTTTTGGGCTCATCTGTGTTAGTGGTTTAGTTCAGACCAGAAATGTGCTTTTGAATTGAATCTCCCGGTCATCTCTGCGTAGTTGTATATCAGTTTAAATCGCAGTGTGATCTTGGAGCCCAAAAACTGCATTCCTTTTGGATGAAACTTTATTTAAAAAAAAAAAAAGCTAGTCCCCATTAATAGCTGGAACACATGAGGTACATGTCTGATGTAAACCCCCTTGAGCAGTGTATAGTGTGGGCCTTGGATTCTCAGCACCAGCTTTTTCACTCTACGTACTTGTACTTCACTACTTGCTATGTAGACAGTCTTTCTGTCTTCTTCAAGGCAATACACAGCCTATGTTTTCAGATAGTGTAAGAGCTTGTTATCTCACTGTAGAGCTTACTATGTACACTGTAATTTTTTTCATGTTGGTTTTATGTGTTTGCTGTGGTAGACTGTGATACTTCAAGTACTGAGTCTTCCAATGCAGAGGGACTGGGACCTGCTTTCCCATTAAACACCTTGATTTCCATCACTTTGGTTATTTACTACTTGAGCTCGTTATTTGTAGAGAGTTTGCAATGGGCAGCATCAAAAGCAATACAGTAGGAAATTGAAGCATGCAAGAATATAGGCATGAAAGATTCTGGGTGTTTATAGGTGGCAATGTCCTCTACTGAATGGATTTTAAGCTGCCAAAATGTCTCAGATGCTCTATTGGCAAAAGTCTTGGTAACCAAAAGTCTGATGATAACTTGTTGCAGACTCATGGCTAAAGAAGGCCATGAAGGAAGGTAAAATAAGCATCTTGGTAACTGGGTACCATCCCAGGCTCTGAAAAAAACTTTTTTTTTTTTAAAAAGGGCCTATTAAAAGCATGAGGAGAATGAATAAGGATTTCTACAGGTGACCTTACTTCTGCTTTTTCCTAATGTTTACACTTTGGCATTTGTTTAGTTATGTGCACAGGATAATGAAGAGGGAAGATGGCCCCATCATTAAAGTGATATCTGTGCCAATCTAGGTTTTCCACTATGCTTCATGTTTATTAGGAAAATTCTTTTGTTTCTCTGGATCTCTATTTCCTGAGTCTAAAGCGTAGCACTTAGCTCCTGCTTTGCAGACAGGTAACATAGATGCTGTGAGAATGAAGTCTGAATGAAAAGCTGGGGGGGGGAGAGATGCAGAAGGAGTTCAAAGCACCTACTGTGCTTTGTGTTGTATGTGTGTGGTTGTCTCTTATGCAAACTTATCTTCCTGTCTTTCATGTGAGCCATATCTCATCCTGCAAGATAAACTAATTCTGCTTCAAATGTCTACTTTACAAGGCAACTGGTTTCCACATTTGTTGCATGAAGGTAAATTGGAGAGATTTTTCTTCTTCTTGGCTTCCTTAATGATGGTGAACACCCTGGGGTTCTGGACCATTGCACACAGGTATGTATGAGAAAATGAAAGTTTGATGTTTCATTTGCAGATATAGAAATAAATTCTTGTAAAACCTGTAAGCTAATGTAATGAAGAATTGGTAGTGATAGATCATACATTATCATTCAGGTTTCAGATTTCAGTATTTTTCTTCTGTCTTGAGGAGAAAAATTGCACAGTAAAAATGATGTGGTAAGATTTAAAAAAAAGACTGTGTAATTAGCCTTAAATATTTAAGGGTTTTTATTAATACAAAAATATCTTGAAGAAAGAGGATTTTATGGAAGTTCATAAATATATTGGCATGGAATTAAGACCATAGCACTAAGATATCTTTGTCATAGAATTGCCAAGATATCTTAGTGATAGCATTGAACTCCACTGCACTTGGCTTTGTACAAATACATGGTAAACATTGGTATTGTCCCCAAGATCATACATCTTAATCATAGGACAGCAGGTGAGGGGATTTCAAGAAGACAGTAGAACACTACTGGTCAATACTGTATGCAGTGGTCTCAACAGGATAACGCTCAAATATTTCCTGATGCAATACTGGACGCTAAGATAAATGCAGCTTTCTGGTGGAGAAAATGGCATTGTTCCATTAGCTCCCATGTGGGAAGTGATTTTGAGCCACCTATAGAGCTTAGACTGTATAGTGCAAGGATTCACATTTGCAATCACCTTTACATCCAGGATGGTTTGAGAGTTCACCTGCCTAATGTATCTTACAATATTTAATCACAGCTAATTTTTATCCGTTGTGTATATAATACCAAATAACAGAGTGGAAAGCAACTGATAGCATTACAGGTAGAAAGGGGCATATTAAAGAGGCATTCTGTCTCAGGCTTAGTGCTGCAGTTTTGTGAAAATCTTTCAGAAACTTTGATGGAGTTATGACTTGACAATGACCAAAATGGAGGATTTCCAAGGGCAAAATTTAATTGGAATTTTGAGGAAAAATATTGGGATTTTTCCCTACTATGTGTTGCTTTAACTTTGCAACAGCAAAGATTACCATAGTATCTTGTCAATCATTTGAATGTAACACAAGACACCCCTATCGACTTATTCCAGCGCTTAGTTCTTGATTCACGTGTGGTGTTTTTGTTTTTTTTTTCTTCATGTTTTGACTGTGACTTGAGCCGTGGTCAGAACTGTTTCTCCTCCATGTACTTTGTCTTTTCCTCTCATATAGTGGTATTTCATTCTTCTGTAAAATGAAACTTTCATTTGGCTTGCTTACTGCTGAAAGCTGAAGTTTTGGCTTGTCAAAAAGTGGTCATGAAATTGGCTTGAATTCTACACATTTAGCCACAAATTAACTGGTTTTTGAAAATTACCAAATTTCCTCTTAAGTCTTTCTGAACAAATTAAAAAAAAAAAAATCAAAATGACATTTCACTTCAAAATCAATGTATCCCTTTTTTCAAGAAGGCAACCAACACCAATGTGGAATGTATTGTTTGAGGTCATATGTAATTGTTTAACTCTGTGCCAAATAAAATTCTCCTGCTTGTCATTTTGCATGGGGGGGCAGAAGGAGGAGGGGTTCTCAGGTAAACACTAACTTCGGGATAAAAATCAGCCTTCAGAACTCTGACTTAGAAAAAATTTACCAAAACCTCTCTGAGAAAATCATGGTTGCAAAGCATTGAGTACTGTTGAGCATTATCTCAGGTATTAATTCCTATCCAGGTATTAATTCCTATTTCTTTCTAAAATTTATTAAAACTGCACAGTACTACTAATAGTAATACCTACATCCAGTTCAGCACTTCTCATCCTTAACTCCTTTTCAGGATTTTGATTCTAGGAAAGTCCATATAGGTACCCTGCTAGAAACCCAGGACTGAGAAGACACTGCAACTTGCAAAATATTACCTAATAAAACAATGTGTGAAATCAATCCCAGAAAGGATGATGATTGCTTTATCATTTTTCTTCCCCATCCCCCCTCCCAGATACAACAATCTGAATCAGGAGTACACCGAAGAGTTCAGAGGAAGTCTTCCTGAAGAAAAACTTTTGCAGCATGAAAAAGCCATCAAGTTTTATGACAGTGTCCTGGATTGTTCTCCCATTTTGTCTCCCATGGAGGCAACCTGATAAAATTTCCATCCTTCCTAGGAAATATAATCAAAATTTAGTCTACCAGCTTTCTAATGATAAATTACCTGGCATACTTCAGTGGAACTCCCAATGTATTTATGAATTACCTTATGTTGTTTGTAAGTTTACAAAGTAATACAAGCATCATAGGATTTGCTCTTTTAGGATGCTGCACTGTCATGATGCACGTCCGGGACAATGAGAGCTCATTGCCTTAGCCTAGTTGAGGGAGAGAGGTTTTTAATCTGTATAGGGAGATAGTTATCCACATGTATTTGTACTTAATAATGGTTCAAAATGAATAAACTCTTGTATACGTTTGTTTAGCAAATTACTTTGTGATAGCATCATTTAAAAATAATTTTTTCAGGCAGTATTGGCTGGTTGATACTTGCAAATGTGGGATATTTGTGTGCTCTTCCTCGCTGTTACTTATCTGCTGTCTAAACTTCAGCAAGTCACTTCCTTAATTTCCCCTTCAGTGGAACAGGCACAGCCAAACTAATCTTTGCAAATTCCCTTGAGATCTACCAAAAAACGAAAAAACCCCTTGGCATTATATAGCGGGAGCAAGTCCGTAAAGTCTGGCTTGAAATGTTTATGCTGAGGCATCTAGTCTTTCTTTTGGCAGAAGCAGCATGGGATTTGTCATCTCTGAAGGATGACATACAAAGAAGCACCAGTAGGAGAACTGGAGACTAGAGTTTATTTACATAAAGATTACTAGTGGTAGCCCAATTGAAGGGGGTGAAGGGAAAAGAGTGGGAAAGGGAAGATGCAGTTGGAAGTGAGGGCGGGGGGAGGAAACGATTAGGGTAAAAGTGTTCTGTCTAAATAGTGTCAAACAGCCAAAGTTGGCTGACTTGGGCATTGTGAGTGATGCTAATCTAGTGGGGTTGTATTTTTTTGGTTTGTTTTTAAAGTCATATTACTAAAAAGAGAATAAGGAAAGAAGTTCTGTCCTTATGCTATAAGGGTACATACTGAACCCCAAAACTAAAGGAACACTTTGATATAAAGGTGATTGTATTGAAAATGGAAGTCAATTCAGAATGCTTAATGATATGAGGAGTGCTGCACCAAAGGGGAAACTACATTTAAGGAATATCAAGCACTGACGTGACACAGAGGTAGCTTGTGCGCTGAAAATATGAAAGAGCCAGTAAAGGAAATAGCCTCTCTGCTGTTAAATGTGTTCAATGGTGCAGCTATAGAACTGAGGTGAGGGGAAAGCAAAATGTAGTAACTATACCTAAGAGGAAGGAAGGCAGTCAGGACAGCTCAGAGCTGTTAGTTTGATCTCATTAGCATTTAAAGTTTTTTGTCAAATTTTAAAAGAGAATATTTAAAGTCATGCAATAAAAGGAAAGTGGAGTAAAATGCAATGCTGATGTATCAAAGGTAGGTTTGCCAGACTACCTTAATGTTTGTGTTTAGTGAGAACTCATTTTCTAGACACAATGTGGTAGAGATATATCTTTTGATTTCAGTAAAGCATTTGACAAATGTCCCATGGGAAATAACTAGTAAAGATGGAAGAGATGAGGGTCAACAGAAGAGCTAAAGGTGGCCGAGGGACTAGCTTAAGCCCAGATGGCAAAAGATATTGTGAAAAGGGGAGGTACCCAGCTGGAAGGGAGTTGTTTGTGTGGAACATGTTTAATGCTGCTTTCATGGGAAAAGAGAATGTGATTATAGGATGTGCTGATGCAGATGGAAAAAGTATTTGTCTTCATACACAGTCATGGTACAAGTGCATTTGAAACGGTCATCCATGTCTGAGGTGTACTTTCTTACTGGTGCGGGGACTGTATAACTCAATGGTGGAGCTGAGTGTATAATTCACTGTTTGCTCTTTGGGAAGTGATGTGCAGGAGGAAGGCTGTGTGCTTGCCTGACCCTGGCTCCTGCCACACCAGCAAGAGGGCACCCTTTTTCACCAAAGCAATAGTGTATGTTGGGTTGGCGTGGGGGCCGCCAGAGGCACAGGCGGCAGGACATGCGAAAGGAGTGCTATCTAATGTAAGGATGAAATCTGAGACATGAGCCAATGCGTATAATTGGGCTGCAGATGCTTTTAACACCTGATGATATATTTTTTCAAAATACAAAAGTAACACAAGAGCAAGAAACTTAGCTTGCTTTTAAGATAAAAGTTGAACAACTTATTACTGGAGACCTATTTAGGGTATATGCCACTGGCAAGGAAATCTCTTTTTCAGATTCTTAGCAGTCACATAGCTGTGCTGAGTACAACTTGCAGCCACGCCTTGGTACACTTTAATGGCTGCATGTCCCTTGGTCCCTGGAGTCTGAGGCTGGCCTATCATTTGTAGCACTTGACAAAAATTTGAAAAAATGAAAGCTGAAGGCCTAAATATATTTTTCTCTGGTCAACTATATACTGGGTCTGTGATGATAAAATCAACTCTTAGAAGCCTGTGGTTTGGCTCGTCCTGGATTTAGTTCCCAGTTCTGAATATAGTGAAGTCAGCTGCTGATATATTTTATCTGATGCATGTTCAGAATGAGTGAGCTCAAACTTAACACTGTTCTTTATCAGAAGTCAAAATCTGGGAGTCAGTGACGGGAGAGAACATAATGCAGCTACTGCTCTTTTACTGTCCGATGTAGATCTTTCATTCTGCAAGAAAGAAAAGATTAATTGACTCCCTGTTAGGGAAGACTTTCCTGTCATACGATCATGCAGTGAAGGCTTTCAGCCATGAAGGAAGAAGCAATTGGGCAGCCATCATAAAGAGGTAGTTTGGACAACAAGGAGGATTAGAATGGGCTTTAGGATGAGTATTTGAATATAGAAAACTCTCTACCTTCCCCCTGTTGACTTTTGGATGGATGGCAAAAGGAAAAGGTGACTGATTGCTAGATTTCTGCAGCCTGGCCTAATTTTTCTAAATCTGGTCCCAGCACGCAATGAAATTATTATAAAGTATTCAGTCTCAACTTTGAAAGAAGCTGCTTTTTCAGAGTTAATACTTTAGAAAAAATGGAGGGACAGAATAAATAAGGAGCTGTGTGTGCGTATGAAATGATGTAACAAGCAGCTGCAAAATGTTAAGATAGCACAGCATTTTTTTGATCTGTGATGATCTGCATGGGAGATAACAAAGTACTCAGATCTGATCTGCATTTGAGATCTCCTATTTGTGTTGCATTGCACAAGGTAAATGCATGTTTTCACTCTTACTGGAAAGGATTATAGTTTTGAAACAGTATGTGGGAAAAATTGCCTCCTAAGCGAGGTTCCCAGGCTATGAGTAAACAGAAACATCCCCATTCAGTTGCATGCTGTCTACTAGCTGACCAACTCTTGCCCAAACTGTTTGGGTAGATGCTGTGCTCTGAGAAGGTCATTACTAAACTTGAATAGCCGTGTGTATCGCTGGTTACTGCTGGTGTGGTGTGTTTTTTATGTTTTGGTTTTAGGTGTTTTTAAGGTTAAACGTGTGTTTTATGCTGCATTCGTGTGTGCACATGCAGAAGAAGACAAGCTCTGTCCCAGACAGTGCACTGAGCACCTCACTTAGGTTTAAATGCACAGGATACCATTTTGAGGGGGGTGGAGGTGAAAAGAGCTCACTGGTAAGGATTAAGATCTCCATCTGTTAAGTTTGCACTGATGATAAAACACATGATCCCGGTTGGAGCAAGATGCATTAAAAGAGCAATTTCACTTCTACTGCCTAGCAACAATGTCATTGAGCACCTGCAATAGTTTAAACATTAAGCATAATTGGCTTTGCTTGACATAAATCTGTAGTTTTGTAAATAAGAGCAGTTGAGTTTCCATGTAATACCAATTAGCTATAAGGAATGCTTTGTTTGCTGAAGCCTGCAGCTTTGCAGAGGAAAGAGGGAGTTGTTAAGACTCAGCAGTAGTAGTCAGAAGATAGAACCCAGATCAGACATTACAGAGATTTCATCAGTGTCCTTGTGCAAGTTTTTTAATCTGAGTCAGTGTCCCGGCCTGTGAAAGGAAGAATAACATTCAGAACTCTTCTTTTTTAAATGAAGAACTCTGAAGGCGTCAGACTAAAAAACCTTGAAAGTAATTTTACAGAATTAAATTGAACCCGCTGTGTTGGCTTTCTTTTTCCTCCCCTTTTAGTTGGAAATACTGTTGCTCCAACTAAACTGCTATTCCAACTGTTGCTACCATCTTGAAAGCTCTTGTAAATTTTCTAGAATCACTTGCTTTGTTCTACTCGCAGGAGAATAAGGAGAATGAAAATCAGTCTTGATCAGCTCCTCAGTCTTGGTCACCTTCTGCGGGATATCGGGGTTGGAAAGATTATGTAGAAGGAGGCCTTCCATGCAGCCCTAGAGCAGAAGCATGGAACAGAACTAAAGCTTTTAGTCTTCAGCTAGGTGTCTAGTCGCTCAAACACTTGCTTACCTTAGCAAGAGCAAACATAAGGACCTTCCACAAGGAATTTTGAAATAATGTTTTTATGTAATCTTTTTTAAAAGCTAGGTCCACCACTCTCCTCCTCATGTCTCTGTTTCTAATAGCATAAAAAAAAGTGTCGTCTTTTATACCTCTGTGATTTCTAGGAAATATCACCATAGAAGTAATGTTTTGCTCAGGACTTTAAATTTATCTAGATTCAGTCTCTATCTGCATCCATAAATACCAAGTTCCTTCATTCAGAGAAAGTTGACAAGTGAACCTCATGCAGTCTACTAGTACAGGTGCAGGCTGACTTTGTAAAGTTAGTTAATCAGTTTGTATCCACAGTGGCAGTCAAAGGAGTGTATCTGATATATTTTTCTGTGTTCGCAGCTTTGCAGAGCTGCAAACAATGCACCTCATGGCTGCTGAATTGTAGATACAGTTTGAATGTTTTGTTGGGGTCTGCACGCCCTCAGAAAGAAGACACTGGAAAGCTTATTTAAATATTGTATGACTAGTATCTTTTCATACTTTTTTTTTCAGATTAAAACAAAAAAGTAGAGTTATTTTACGTAGAGATTGGCAGGAGGGTACTCCACCCCCTTGAAAGACCCACGATTTTGTATAGAGTCAAAATACATTCATTCCAATCATCTAAAACACTTCAAAGAAAAGACACATCTGTAGAAAATAGTTTAGATATTAACTGTACAGTTACTGTCCTTTCCTGTAATGTGGGAAATTCAGGTTTAAGTGCTTTCTTTACCACACCTGCAATAACTTAGCATATAAAAATTGAGCAGAGGTTTGAAAGTGGATCTCTTGTACACTTCTCAGCAGAGT